TCGAGACATCCTTCGGGGTGATCTTCGCTTGCTGGAAGGCGGATTTGGCTGCGAGGCGAGTCATGTTGGAGCCGATGAGCTCGATTGCGCTAGGTGGTTCGTAGAGGAGCGGTGTATCGGTCGCGAGGGCCTGTCCAGAGATTTGGATTGCGGAGTTGTGTAGGTGAGGATGCGACTTGAGGAATTGGGCAGAGCAGATGACTGCTGCTGCTGCGCCGGTCTTGTTGAATCATTAGGCATAACTCAAATCTTTTCAAAGAGTTTCAGACTTACAGATGAAGGACAGCACTGCAATCTCGTGATTGTTCCCGTGACAGTGGGACTTCGAAGTACATCGTCGACGGAAACCTCTTTTGCCAATTGACTGTAAGGATTATTAACACCATGTGAGCGGTTAATTGAAGTGATCTTCGCAAAATGCTCGTTCTTGGCTCCTGCCGCCCCATACCGCTCAAGATACTCCGCCTGCGCATTAGCATACAACTGCGGCGTCCAGCCGGGACTCTTCTTCCCCCTATCCTGCTCTGGGATCAACGTGCTACTCAAATCCAGTATCCGACTCAACGGATTCGTCCGATCATTAAAAATCTGCGGCAGCGCACCCGGGTACATTTTGTCGAACCCAATTACGAGCACACAATTCGCTTGCCCGGCTTTGATTGCTTGGTTGGCAAGGTAGAGGCCCGTGGACCCGGAGGAGCAGTAGTTGTTCACATTGCAGATGGGAATCCCGGTCATACCGAGGGAGTAGAAAACTCGTTGCGCGCAGGTCGAGTCACCGAAGACGTAGCAGCCCACCCCTTGGTCGATGTCGTCGTAAGTGAGCCCGGCGTCCAGCAGAGCCTTGACGGCCGCTTCGACGGCCAGGTCGAAGTAGTCCGATGCAGGATTCTGGGCTTGGCTTGCAGATTTCTTGGGTGAGCGAAAAGGCGTCATGCCTACACCCGCAACGAAGGTTGGTGTTGACATCGTGAGAACGATTGTTTTGAATAAACAGCTTGAAGGAGAGGACCGTGATTCCTAGACTTCTTTGATTTTTGGTACGAAAATATAATGAGCTTCAAGTATGAACTACGGCGGTATGAAAGAAACATTCCTGGGCCGTTGAGACTAGTATGTCATGGTTTAAGCCTTGTGGCGGGATGTAGTCTCATGCAGGAACTATGAGGGGTACGCGTTTCGCGAGACCCGAGCCAACATCCGATAGATGCGAAGGCTCATCTGGTGCAGGTAACCTTGGCATGCACGGTTCACTACCTGCAGCATATGCACCCCCAAGATATGTCGAAATCCTTGTCTCATAATTTGAACGCCAGCTCAAGCAGAAAATCGCAGATGGGTGGAACTGAAGAAGAGAAGCACATGATGCGTAGCTTTGAGATCCAAAATATTTTGTTGATTATAGAAAGATGCGAAGACAAGGAAGAGATTGCTCTAAAGCCGACTTGGCATTCTCGTAGCTCCATCCAGTCTAACAACCGTCCCATTCAACATCGAATTAGATATCGAGTGCACAACTAAGTCTGCAAACTCATCAGGCCGCCCTGGTCGATTCGGAAACTCCAGAACTCGCTGAAGACTCTCCTTCGCCTTCTTCGGCATATTCGTGGTCATACTGGTCTCGAACATGCCAGGAGATATCGACACAGCTCTGATGCCATGTTGTGCAAGATCGCGAGCGAGAGGAAGCGTCATTGACGCAATTGCTCCCTTGGTAGCAGAATATGCAACTTGCCCTGGCTGTCCGTCGAAAGCAGCTGCTGATGCGACTGTGATGATGACCCCTCGTTCTCCATCGGCATCCGGAGTCTGAGTCGCAATATGCGGGAGAAGCTGTCGGATGATATCGACTGTTCCAACGAGGTTGACAGCAATGACCTTTTGGAATGTGTCAAGAGAGAATGGAACATTCTGTCTGCCCAGAATCTGATTCAAGTCAGCTTCCTGTGTCCGATGGATTCTCGCGTCTCCGATGTACCTTTGCTGGACCAAGGATACCGGCGCAGCATACCACAGCTGCGACATCCTCCCTGATCTCCTTGCCCCAGCTTACGATCCCCTTCACTGCCGCCTCGATTTGTTCTGTCTTCGATACGTCGACCCTAAAAAATCGGACTTGGGAACCCAATTTCTGGGCAATCCCGTGTGAATCATCGAGATCTAAAATTGCAACACGTGCTCCTAACTTGGCCAGTGTCTCTGTCGTCGCGAGACCGAGGCCAGACAGGCTGAGGTTCGGTCAGCAAAGTCACGATTTGTTCCATCTAAAGCTTCTCACCCTCCAGTCACAACACAAATCTTGCTGCCCAGCTTCATGACTACTTTTCTCGGGATGAGTAAGACTCAAAACTTGGGAAAGTAAATAATATCAAACGTTTATTCGAGACTGTGAAGAGAAGGTGCGAGGCCCTCCGCCCCAGAGGCAGCCAACACAGCTTGCCATCTTCATCGCGTCAACTGTCGCGTCAACCATCGAGAACCCGAAGCTCGACGCGATCAGCACAAGCTAGTTCACCTTCTCAAACCCGCCGGCTCAATAGACCAGGATGAAGCTGCATGAGTCGGTCGTGGAGATCGATGCGGAGTTGTGGAGTTGTGGACTGGAGAAGTGGGATGGTGGAGTCGTCGGGTCTCGGGTGTCGCGTTTCGTCTTGCCAAGATCTTTCCGCGTCGCGTCGTCTGCATCTCCCTTCTCCAACATCACAGATCCGCATATGGCAGAGAGAGGAGAGCGGAAGACCTGCCAATGCTAATACTTCGCGATAGCCGATCAGCGCTTTGGTTGAAGTGATGGTCGAGTCGCAAGCCATGCTCCTGATAGCAGTGGGGTAGTGCCCCTTGTGGTGGGGTGAAGTGGCCCGATGGATGGGCCAGAATCTCCAGTCCAAAGCGGCCTCTCTTTTTCTTTCTGTGCATGTCGATTCATTGATTCTATACCTTTTTATTTCCAAATCAATTGTGACTGAGTGTCGTGTCAGTTCCAGATCTCCTTTTCATTGTACCACAACTCTACCAACGATGGCACACCTCCCGTCTTCCAGAGAGGCCATCATCGCCATGAACCAAGCTGCAACCCATGGGGGGTCTCTCGTTCACGGCCCTTCACATCCCCAAATAATCGACAAAACATTTGGGGCTCTTCTTCGTGAACAGGCAAGAGCTCGCGGCTCCTCACCCCTCGTCATCTCCGATCATCAAAATCGTACTTTGACATATGCGGAAGCCGACAGAAGGAGCGACGATCTCGCGCGAGGCTTAGCTGCCCTGGGAGTTAAAAAGGGCGATAGAGTTGCCATCATGATGGGAAATATGGTGGAATACGTCGAGCTGTTCTACGCTTGTGCTAAGCTGGGTGCGTTGATCACATTGGCGAATTACGGATACAGCGAGCAGGAATTTCACTCTGTCCTCTCGTCATGTGGAAGCAGCGTTCTGATGATTGTCCCGGGATTTGATCGATACAATTACGATTCCTGGATTCCGCATTTGAAGAAGAATATTAAGAGCCTCGAACACATCATAATGGTCGATGGAGAAGATCGCCATTCTTCCCATTGCATTCACTACGAAGACGTTATTTCCACAGGAGAAATGTTTCAACTAGATCTCGATACAATAGAGAAGACCCTAGATCCGAACGATATCCTCAACCTACAATTCACAAGCGGGTCGACTGGTCACCCCAAAGCCTCAGCATTGACCCACCGAGGCATCTACAATGCAGGCCGCTTCATCGGTGACACCATGTATCTCAAAGCTTCCGACAAAATCTGCACGCCAGTTCCACTCTTCCATAGCTTCGGACTCATCATCGGCCTCGCTGTAGTCAGCGCTCACGGCGCGTCGATCGTCCTACCAGATACAGTCTTCAATATCGAAGCCACCCTCGCCTCCGTCACCAAGAATCGCTGTACCGGAATCTATGGGGTAACAACTATGTTCGTTGCCGAAATGAGCCATCCAAGCTTTCAAACCTACGACATGTCTTCCCTTCGCTTTGCTATCGTGGCTGGCTCTGCAGTCCCAGAAACATTAATCCGGAAGATCTGGGCCGCATTCGGAATCACGCAAACACACACCAACTGGGGCCTCACAGAATCCGCCTCAATCTGCACCATGACACGGGACACAGACACGATCGAGAAGCGATGTCTATCCTCCGGCCGTCTATTCCCCGGCTTCTCCGCAAAGATCGTAGACCCCGCAACGAATCTAATCATGCCCTGGGGCGAGAAAGGCGAGATCGTGCTCCGCGGCTACGGCGTACAACGCGAGTACTACAAGAACGAAGCCAAGACCAAAGAAGCGCACAAACTCAGTCCAGAAGACGGACAAGAGTGGTTCCACACAGGAGACGAAGGGTACATCGATGCTGAAGGCTACTTCGTCATCACGGGCCGCATCAAAGACATGATCATCCGCGGCGGAGAGAACATCGCGCCTCTCGAGATCGAAGAGCGGCTCATGGCTCATCCCGCCGTGGCACAGTGCGCTGTTATTGGTGTCCCGGATCAGAGGTATGGAGAGCAGATTGCGGCGTTTGTGGAGTATAGTGGGAAGGGGCCGGTGCCGAGTGATGAGGAGTTGAGAGCTTGGACTAGACAGACGTTGGCACGGTTCAAGCAGCCAAAATATGTTTGGTGGTTAGGTGCTAGGGAGGAGTTTATGGTGTGGCCGAAGACGGCGAGTGGAAAGTTGAGGAAGCCGGATTTGAGGGTGATTGGGAAGAGGATTCTGGAAGAGGGGTGTCTCTCTGGCCAGATTTCTGCGCGGTTGTGAATGGAAGTTCTTTGTGTGAACTTGCTTTCGTAACCTTAGTACCTCGGCCATAGATTTGAATAAAGACACCTCCCTTTCCCAAGCCTGGCTCGCATAAGGTATATCACGTTTTCTCGCTAAAGCTAAAAGGGGGTCGCTAAGCCCTCGAGCTCCTTTAATGTTCACACCTTGCTTAGAACCCTCCTTTGCTCTAATTAAAAGCCTAAAAAAATCTTCATCTTTGGAGTCGGCTGGACTCGAACCAGCAATCTCACCGAGTTACCCAACCACTCGACATATCGACATGCTAGAGGTCCGAGGACCTAGTAGTCATCGCGTGAAATTGTGTTTTCAGTGCGCTTTACCATTAAGCCACAACCCCTTTCAATGTGACGCAAGAATTCTTAATCAAGATTATAAAGTTCCTTCCTCTCTTACTAGGACTCCTCTTACAGTTTGCCTTTCTCAACTCTGATAGAAGATGGGCGATGTGGAAAAGCAGGCATGGAATTGCCAACAAGAAATGAATGCAGTCTGGAGTAAGCTGGATTCGAACCAACACTCTCACTGATTTTACCAACCAGTCAGCTGTTCATTTCCCACAACGTCTTTAAACTAGGTTATGCGTCTGTCAAACAGCCTGTACTAACATTACCCTTGTCATCTTAGCTGACAAGAATATATGGAAAGAGTAAGGTCAAAAGATAAAACAAGTATTGGATTCGGATGGATTCGAACCAATATCTCACAATAAAACAGCGGACCCTATAGGGCTGAAGACATTCAACTAATATGATCTTTAGTCTGAGTGTTCATTCCAATATTCAAGCTGCCAACGCATAGTCACAAGTCTTCAGAGAAGTCAACGAGATTCAGTAACTCCAATCATTCAAAGATCTTCGATTTGAACATGTGAGTCCGCCCACAACAGCTATCCCATACTTTCAACTGAGAAAACAGTGTATGCAGCTATTTCAACATCCTCGTCTCTACCATTCCCCGAAGATCGTTTAACACCTTTAGTAGAGCAAAAACAAGCTAGTAATAACACCAATACGCTGGCTAATGACATTGCTGCTATGCAAGCAGTTTCAACACCTCTTCTCAGGCGTGACTGTAACGCGTCCGAAGAGCGTTTGATGTTGCTGGTTTTCAAGTATGGAATACCTGAGTTTGAGATATCAAGGGTTGAAGCTACGCTGTTGATACGTATAACCTGCAGAGAAGAAAAAGAAGCACGACCAGAGTATAAATTACTCACCATTTTAAAATCAAGATCGGGAGTTCCATAATGCCGGTCGGCGAGCTTGGTGTTGTATGTGCAGATTTGGTTGTTGAAGCGAAACAAGAGATGATAGGCTTATTTGATGAAGAGGAAGAAAAAGGATATCCGAGAAGCAATCATAGGATCTTGTGAGTCGTCATGGGTGTTGACTTTGTTTGGTGGAAGGAATAGGACGGTACACGTGACTCAAAACCCAGGGGGTTAGGCCGTGAGACAGGATCTTGTGACAACATAATAGAAGACTCCCTTAAGTGGCAAATCAACTAAACTTCTGGCAATCATTTTAACTATGAGTCTTGTTTGAAGTTTCCATGCTCTAGTCTCTCAATCAAATGATAAGTACAAAATTGTTCCTATGAGAAAAAATTCAATATCTACCTCTGCTAACATTAAAATTAGCTGATTGGGCAAGGGTAGATATAGCATATCATTAAAGCCGCTGCTGCAAATCTCTGATATGGCAGACATTTGGGCTCGGCCGCATATGGTATTTCTGTTCTAGGAAGGAGAGGTGTTGCATCCTCTGAACTATTTCTGGGCTCAGTGCATCTACATGGCAAGAAATATATGGGATGATGTTGAGGCAAACGGGGTTGAGAATGTGCTCAGTTTAAGATCATGTCCGAACAAAATTTTCCTCCACTCGGAAACCCTTGCTTATTTTTTCCCCATCTCATCTCATATTTTCCCATGTTCGACTGTATTTTCTCCGTCGGTGATAAGAACAAGCAACGATTCTCGGCAATTTATATTAGAATCACATAGATTAAAAGAAGCGTAATATCCTTCTAGAAACCTCTATAATAAATCGCCAATCTAATCCCAGCCGCCTCGTGACATGCCAAGACAAAAACACAAATACCAAAATTACTAGCATCTCGCAGCCCAGGATGGAGGTTTCGCTGGCCATTACAGATACATCTGATCCCTCATCCGATGATTCCATAAAAATGTCAATATGATATTACTAAGGGGCACAAGTTCCAACAAGTTCCAACAAAGTCCCGATACCCCTCACCAAACAAAATCTCCCACCAATCAGCAACACCAGAAACAAAAAAACATGAAAGCAGGGCAGCATGGGCGAAATTGGGGGAATCCCGGAATAGATGAGGATCCCACGACAATAGAACATCACCACCTGACCCGCCTGGCGGCAAAGGCGGGAACATCTCTCTTGATGGCCATCCCCCTTTGCCCGGATAACCTCCCTCTAGGGACCTTCTCCCTCGACTTCTCTGCTCCTCCTCCACCCATATATTTTTCATCTGATAACCAAGTATACGCAAGTCCCCATCCCCACCCCTCCGCTGTATAAAGTGGGGATATTACCCCGCAGCCTAATCCCATCCTCCACATCTCGGCTGTAACCGCAGACATCGGCACTTGGCCTGCGCCTCGCTTATTCGCTGACGTCTCAAACGGGGTCAATATAAACAGATTGGAGATAATCTGCGGAAGGGTCGTGGAAGGCGTGTGGAATTGCGCGGAGAGTGCTTCTGTGGATGGGGAGGTATCGGCAAGTGTTTGGTTTGCGCTGGATCGGCTGTACCGTGATACTAATGCTGCTATCTATGGGCGTGGGAGAATGGGAATATAAAGATAGAATAGCGTCTATGTTGGTCTCGATCCTTGGTGCGAGTTGAAGTTTTGGTCTTGAAGAATTTATAATATTGTGATTTTTGAGGTTGTTTTCACAATACAAGCGATTTCATATCTGAAGCATCTCGATATAGCTGTTGAAGGAAACAAGTCAAGATGTACTTGACACCCCTCATTGCTGCGGCGGTGCTGGCTCTCGCGCCAGTGGCCAATGGTGCTGGTGCAACTCTTCGATTCTCCTGTTCACAGCTCGCCGTAGACCGTATAGACCCGTAAGCCACCTCGTCCAGAAAAGAAGGAAACAGCGAACCTAACACGGCCTGCCCACAGAATCGTCAACCCAGGCGTCGAGGGATCACCTCATCTCCATCAGTTCGTCGGAGGAAACGCACTGAACGCCACCCTGGGCTCTAATCTGCCCGACATCTCGAGCTGCACGAGCTGCGTCCCAACAGAAGACTTCTCCAACTACTGGACCGCCGTGCTCTACTTCCGAGCACGGAACGGGACCTTCAAGCGCGTGAACACACTCCCCAACCCACTCGGATACAGTGCCTCCAACGGCGGCCAAACGGTCTACTACCTCTCGAGCGGAAAGGTAACAGCCTTCAAGCCCGGCTTCCGCATGACAGTCGGCGACCCCTCCATCCGCACGAACGCCGCACAAGCAGCCCTAAAAGCCCCCGAGCTACAATACACCTGCCTCGCAACCAGCACTACACGAAGCGGCTACATCAGCACCTTCCCGACCAGCACCTGCAAAGTCGGGATCATGGTATCCGTGCGCTTCCCCACCTGCTGGGACGGCGTGAACGTCGACTCGCCGAACCACCAAGACCACGTCACGAATCCAGTAGGTTCCGCATGTCCGTCCTCGCACCCGGTGTCCATCCCGCAGGTGTTCTACGAGACGTACTGGGACACGACGCCGTTCAACGACAAGAACTTGTGGCCGACGGACGGGTCGCAGCCGTTTGTGTGGTCGTTTGGCGATAAGACGGGGTATGGCAATCATGCGGATTATGTGTTTGGGTGGAAGGGCGATGCGTTGCAGCGGGCGATGGATGCAGGGTGTAGCTCGGATTTGTTTTCTGATGATGTTAAGTGTACGACGTTGAAGACGCAGACGATTACGCAGGCGAATACTTGTACGAAGAAGACGACGGTTCCGGATACGCTGGATGGATGGGTTACCACGCTTCCGGGTGGAGTGACGTTGAACTAATTCGAGATTGCTTTGCCTTACTCTTTGCGGTGGTTTTCGGGCACGTTTGTAAGAGTAAGGTTTGGTTCGAAGATCTTTTATAAGAATTGAAACCTATACACTCGTTGGCAGTCCGTTGTATGTAATCGAGCTCTCTGAACGTTTAGCCGGCACCAGATGAATATCCAAATAAATCACTTGAATTTTGACACATTTTGTACCATAAATCAAAATAAAAGGAAGAAAAAGGAAAAGTTGTAACATCTATCCCTGCGTGCCGGAAAACCCTGCGTGCCGGAACGACTTCATAGTTTTAGGGCCCTAAATCTCTACCACATAAATATATAAATCTACCTATGTGGTACGTGACTAACGCATAACCCGATTATCGAACCAAAAACTTCTTCAAATCAATCCTACCCTCAGCGTATAGCCTGCAACACTTCTCCCACACGAACTTTTCCGGAAGAGTGATATGTCCAGTCCCCACCAGAGTCCAACCCTTCTCCGCATGCCTCAAAATTAGCGGATGTTCCGCTCCCACCATCATGCACACCTTGTCCTTCAATCTAACATCTGGGGCAAACGACGTGCACGATGTTATATGGCAAATCGGCAGCTGCGATATAGGCTGGAGTCTAAAGGTGCCTGCCATGAGATCCTCATGGAAGTCCATGGCGAGTCTGTCTGTATCGAGACTAAATCGGAAATTATGCTTAAATCTTAGTCGAAAGTATTGCGCTAGCTCCAAACAGCTCTCTCCTACTTCTTGATCTATGAGTAAGAGTGCTTTAGCTACTAAATTCAGAATACCGCATTTGACAAGCAGTAGCCCTAGAATCGGACGTGCAAGATTCGCAAAGGTTTCTAGCAATCGGAGTCCGAATCGTTCGCCATTCTGATCTTTCCGAGCTGACTTGTATATCAACTCGGAAAGAGATCCAACGATAAATCCTCGCAACGCAACTACTTTTAGATCGGAAGAAAATTCCGCAACTGGTATACTAGCATCCTCACCTTTCAGACGATACGGTTCACCTGTCCCACCCTCGGCCTCCTCAGGCCTCCAGGCTTTAGTGTTCCAATCTGGAACCCACGAAGGAAGATTTGCTAGAGGCCGGGATCCTTGACAGGCGCTGAGAGCACTTAGATTGCCTGACGATTCGATGAGGAATTTTGCAACAGAAGTATATGTATCCTCAACGGGCTCCTCGTATCGAACTTCGATTGCAGGAATATCTGAGGAGGCGTTCCGCATTTCGTCAGATAGACCAAGTAGGCCGTAGACTTT